GAGCTGGAGGAGCCACGTGGATACCCCTGTCAGCACTGAGATGCTTATAACACCACTGGATCCAAAGACTTTCTACCCACTGGCCTGTGATCATCCTACATTCGGCATCATTGCAGGTGTTTCATGAGTCTGAAGTGGACTTTATAGATTGCTATCAGACATATGGGCTAATATTGGACATATGGATGATCTGTACTGGACTGGAATACTTTCTCAATATTCAATTGGTCTTGTATATAAAGCTCTTTGTTTTACACATATGAGACTCCTCGGATTTGTTTCTCTAGTCTACCCAGACTAACACAAATATCCATAATAGTTGTACAACATGAATTGTATAATCAACGATACTGGATTTTACGTGTAGAAGTTGTATTGGAGAATGTTTTGTTGTCTATATGTTTTGCACAATTAAAAATGATACACTAATAGCAATGAGTACAAGGAAGAAGAAAATGTTCTCAAATTGATTGTGGTAATGATTCTACAACTCTTCCTGATATGATTGGGCTATAGAATTTTATGATGTGTGAATAAAGTACCAATAAAGCTGTTTAAAAATAAAAAATGAAAGGCCATGAACTGCTGAAAGAACCAACAACTCTGAAGTACAACCAGAGTGCTTCGTAGAAGCAAGGATGGTGAGATTTTCATCTCATGTCTCTTGGACAAGTTATCAGGAGATACCTGTCTTTGAGAAATGGCATCATAGAGAGGCAGAGAAAAGGAGAAAGATTGTCAACAAGGTGGAGTAACACAGTGGCCGTCGTAATGGCCTCCAGCATAAGAACAATTATGAGGGTGGTACAGGACAGGGAAATGCTTCTTTCTGTTCCTCATAGGGTTACTATGAGTCAGAACTAACTCATTGGCACTTAACACCACCACCACCAACAGTGTTCAATCTGCTATGTTGGACAGTAACTTCAGCACTTATACTGTGACCTCATGAGCTGGGAAGCTGTGCAACTGCACAGTTGACCCTTGTGAGTCAATAGTTCTTGGTCGAGGTTCTGTATCAAGATCTTCCATTGTACTTCTTACTGGTGGCTCTGAAGGTGACACCGGATTAGGTAGTGTTTGTTCTATTATAGGGTTGCTGGCAGTTGGGACTGATTAGACAGCACCTGCCAACAACTACTAGTGGTCACAGCAGTGAGGAGACTGGATGAAGAGCACTTCGTGGCTGCAGGAGGGGCTCCTTCTCTTGAGTGATGGGTCTTCATAAATGGTGGCCCATGTGCACTCGTTTCATTGACCAGGTGCTTCCACTGGTCGTGCGTGAAAGGGGTCTGCTGCTATCTCCTGCTGGGTGGGTTGGCAGTACTGAAGTTGAAATACTGGAATTTAAACTTCAGCTGTGAATAAGAAAGACTTAAAGCATGAAAGAAGGGTTCCTTTCATTAATTTCATAGACCAAGACTGAGGGAAGGACCATTGAGCTGTGGCGAGTGCACTGGGCCAGGAGTCTCTGATTGGCTGCTTGTCTTGGTTTTGAACTTGCCAGGGTGGTTCCCTTATATAGGTGATTAAGGCACTACTAATTCATTCAGTAATTTTTTCCTACCTTCTTTGGACACCTATTGTATGCCAGACTGTGGCAGTTACATAATCTGTCAACTTGCATAGGGGTGGAGTCTAGCCTGTTAATCAGGTCATAGCCAATGAGGCCTCTGTGTGGGCATGGCCTTCTCCTGAGGATTTGGGAACTCTGGTCTTACTCCCTGGAGGCGGGATACTCTCTCTGCTTCTTCTTCCTGCTGACAAGCCACATGGAGCCAGACTGATGGAGCCCGAGCCCTGGAGCTGGAGAAGCCATGTGGAGACCCACACCAGCGCTGAAATGCTTCCACCACCACTGGATCCACAAGACTTTCCACCTGGCCTGTGATCTTCCTGCATTCAGCATCATTGCATGTGTTGCATGAGACTGGAGAGAAATTTATAGACTGGTATTGGACATATGGGCTAATATCAGACTTATGGACTTGATCTGGACTGGGCTGGGATGTTTTCTTAATATACAATTACTCTTTGACACAAAGCTCTTTCTCACACACATATGAGTGTCTATGAATTTGTTTCTCTAGTCCACCCGGACTAACACACAGACCCTGTGTCAAGATTATAGAGATAAATGTGATGTGGTTCTTGTTGGCATTGAGCTTGATTGGAGATTGGATAGAGGCTCTGAAAACAGACAAACCCAAGAAAAACAACACTTGCAAAGTAGAAGGTCTGCAGACACATCCGTTTGGTTTATTCAGTGTTTGAAATGATCAGAGTTAGTTGTGGATATTAAAAATTTTGGGATATTATTTACTAAAAAAATCAGATTTCTGGGCCTCTTTAGAGAAATAAGATTTAGCTACAACCACCAGGATCTGCCCTCTTCAAATGGGGTAATTTTATGTTCAATCTCCCCTGATCCTTGTCTGACAGTGTCCTACATTGTGGCTTAGTTTACAGCAGTGTCGAGAAGCGTTACAAGTGTTTTTGTGCCCATGCCTTTCATAAAAGAGGGAGAGTGATAAAGAGGCTGGGAGGACTGTGTGTGCCCAGGAGAATGGGAGTGAGTCCATGCAGGAACTCCTTT